AAAATGCCACATCAACGTAGGTGTATCAGATTACCAAGAAATTTAAAGTGATGTATTAAACTGACAAGGTCTAAAGATGGTGATTAAATGGATATGGTATATTTTCCTGCCAATTTGTCTTTTTGAAATAATATTAATCTGATAGTTTTTTATTATTTATTGTTTATATTTCTAGAAAATGCTACAGTATAAATAACTCCAATGAAAAAATCATCAAAATAATTTTGCTTTAACTACATATAAAATTTCATATCAAAACCAAATCTAATATCCTATATTGAATCGAGGATATTCCCTCCGACGGTCCGGCCAATAGTCTTTCCTTTATTTCATGTGCGTAGATAGTCGACACTCGCGACTCGTGAGCGCAGAGGACAAACAATGCTCGTTCTATGCACCTTCGATAGATGACCCAAATCTCATCATGGACGCTCCAAACCTTTCGCCGGATTCTGAAAACCTGCATAGACCACAAGGACCTCGATACCGGCAGGTGCCTCCACGCGCTCTACGTCAAGTCCCTAATCCCACGCCTCACCTACATCTCCAACCACTTCACCCTCCTCTACTCCCGATGCCGCCGCCTCTCCGCCGCCCGGAGGTCCTTCGACTCCACCGCCGACCCCAACGTCTTCTCCTTCAACCTCATGATTTCCGCCTACGCCGGAGAGTTCCTCCCCCACCTCGCCCGCCAGCTGTTCGACCAAATTCCCGATCCGGACATCGTCTCGTACAACACCCTAATCGCCGCCTACGCCGACTCCGGCGGCGCGTCGCCGGCGATCGAGCTCTTTTCCGTTCTTCGGGAGTCAGATCTTGCCGTGGACGGGTTCACTTTCTCTTCTGTAATCACTGCTTGTGCTAATGACGCTGGATTGGTCAAGCAGTTACATGGATCCGCTCTCTCGGGCGGGTTTTGTGGTTATGCTTCGGTCAATAACGCTTTAATTTCCGGGTACAGCAGAAACGGGCTTTTTAACCTGGCCGAAAGCTTGTTCTTCGAGATGGGCGAAGTTAGAGATGAAGTTTCCTGGAATTCCATGATTGTGGCCTACGGACAGCACAAGCAAGGATTAAAGGCGCTTGGTTTGTACCAAGAAATGGTGCATAATGAATTATTCATTGACATGTTCACGTTAGCTAGCGTTTTGGCTGCTTTTACAAGCTTGGAGGATTTACGTGGCGGAATGCAGTTACACTGCCGGCTGATCAAAACGGGTTACCACCATAACCCGCACGTTGGCAGTAGTTTAGTGGATTTGTACTCAAAGTGCAGTGGTGGCCGTATTTCGGTAGCTCAGAAGGTATTCGATGAAGTTCCTCACCCAGACTTAGTCCTTTGGAATACAATGATTTCTGGATATTCGACAAGTGATGATTTTCCAGAGCAGGCCATCAACTGTTTCAAGAAGATGCAACGTGCAGGGAAGTTTCCGGATGACTGTACATTAGTTTGTGCAATCGCTGCTTGTTCTAGAATGCCATCTCCTTCACAAGGTAGACAAGTTCACTCCCTAGCCATAAAATTTGACATTTTATCAAAATGGGTCTCGGTAAACAATGCCCTCATCACAATGTACTCCAAGTGTGGGGATTTGCAGGACGCGAGGAAATTATTCGACGAAATGCCCGAACACAATGAAATCTCTCTAAATTCAATGATTGCGGGCTACGCGCAGCACGGTCTCGGGCCCGAGTCACTAACCCTTTTCGAACAAATGCTTGAGAAAAAAATGAGCCCGACTAGCATAACCTTCGTATCCGTTCTATCTGCGTGTGCGCACACAGGGAGAGTCGAGGATGGAAAACGGTATTTCCGCGCAATGAAGGAGGATTTCAAGATCGAGCCCGAAGAAGAGCACTACGCTTGCATGATCGACATATTGGGCCGGGCTGGAAAATTGGACGAGGCCCAAATGCTTGTAAAGAAAATGCCTTACGATCCTGGGTTCATGATTTGGGCTTCGTTACTCGGGGCCTGCAGAACCCACGGTAATAATTTGGGCCTTGCGGAATGGGCCGCCAAGCGGTGCCTCGAGCTGGACCCATCGAACGGGAGCCCATATGTTATGTTGGGCCACGTTTACGCCAAGGCCCATTTATGGGAAAAGGTGTCTTGGGTGAAGAGGCTGATGAGGGATGGGAATGTGAAGAGGAGGCCGGGGTGCAGTTGGATTGAAGTGAATAGAAGGGTTCATGTGTTTGTTGCGGATGATAAGGTGCATCCGATGAGGAAAGAGATTTACGGGTTTTGGGAGAGAATTTGGGAGAAAATGAAAAAAGCTGGATATGTGCCGGATTTGAGGTGGGCTTCGGTTAAGAGTGATGAGGTTAGTGAGGACGAGAAGGAGATGATGGTGAGGTGTCATAGTGAGAAGCTAGCGGTTGCTTTCGGGTTGTTGTCGACTGGAGAGGGTTTTGGTTTGGTTGTTATGAAGAATTTGAGGATGTGTGGGGATTGTCATAATGCGATCAAGATAGTGTCTGGTATTAGTGGAAGAGAAATTACGGTTCGGGATTGCTATAGATTTCATCATTTTAAAGCGGGGGAGTGTTCGTGTGGGGATTTTTGGTGAACTCATAATGTGTTTCTGATATAAATCTGAATTTATGTGTTTGAAAAGTATTTTATTTCCATTCCTCCGATTTAAATTTGATTCGATAACAACAGTGGAGCCTTGTTATAAACATTTTATGTGATGTGATTGTCAAGGCATACAAAATAAGAGAATAGAAGATATTTGCTCCAAAATTCAGTAAGCTAATTTCATTTACAGGCCTTTTATACACAAAGTGAAAAGGCATTTCGAAGTGTTAGTTAGGGAAAGAGATGTTGATAATGTATTCTTTTGGTATAATGGTGTGACTATAAGNNAAATTGGTGTGACTAGAAGTTGATGACATTATATGGTCATTCACAATTGGCAATTATAGTACAAGGGGAATAGTTAAGTTGGTGCACGTGACTCACATGGCAGGCAATCACCACATTTATCTCACATTGGTTGTTCTTGAGAAAGCTTAGCCGAAAGAAACCAGTCAAAATAAAGAGAAACTTGAAAGTAAGGTTGTAAACAAGTCAAGTTTGCCCAAGCTCAAGCCCTTAACAAACTCATAATCGAGCTCGAGCTTGGCTTGTTAGTATCAACGAGCAGAGCTCGAGCCTTACCGAGCCGAAATTAAGCTTAACAAGACAAACAATAGAAAAAATCCATAAAAATTATCTTTTTGAGCTTTATCGAGCCAAACTAACCACACAAGTTTTAAATATACTTAAGCTCGGCTAGTTTATCAAACGAGCTAAGCCGAGCTCGAGCCTTACAAGTCAAGTTGAGCTCACCAAACAACTCGTTTAATTTATCAACACCACTTCTTGAAGTGTCCGTGTATGAGAATTGATTCAAGAACATAACACCTTGTAACACTCACATTTCTGAAACGAAAGATCATCTCTAAGATGCAATCATAGAGCATACTCTTCTCATATCACAAATTGAGCTCTAAAGGGTAAAAACTCTTGTAAATAATGTGTCATAAAACTAGATGGAAAGAGAGAATATAGAGAGTATTCTCTTAGTATAATTTTCTAGAGCTCTGTTTATAAGAACACTTCGGGAACATTCGTAAATATATCAAATGTAAAATAGACATTCCCATTTGTTTCAGTAGGTGAACCTACCATATAATAATGGATTCATAACATTACTTGCATTTTCAATATGACAACTAATGAATGTTGGAAAGTCGACTCACTGTGATCTTATGTTTATCTGCATAATGAAGATGATTATTTACATAAAAGGTAGTGAATCCTACACTAGACTTTCTTGCATCTCCAAACAGATGCAAGCATTGGAAACATTCTTAGCACCGAGCAACACACAAACACACAAGATACATTTTCTCAAGATGTAATTGCCACCACCTTCCATACAAAATTTATAAAATCAACCATTACTGAGATTCAAAGCACTCCCTTCCAATTTCCCAAATTCGAAAATTCTCATTTTCGCGTACGCTAAATACATGGTCCTAGGAATTATCAATTGCAAAAGGATAAAGAAAACAATTTCATCTCCAAAATTTTCCAATCAACGAAAATCACCTACCTCAATCTGACTTTTACAATTGTAGTATATCTATAATCCCTGTCAAGCCAGTTTACAAGACTTGTCTACTGATTTTGAGATGTAAATAAAACACAATGATTTTTGTGCCAACAAGGTGAAAATAATATTAAGATCTTGAAAAATCATACCTACCATAAATTACAGTCCACAAGACTTGAAACAAAGCCTTTTTGTAGTCTCACTGACCATCATCCTTTTTTGGGCCTTTTCTCTTACTCCCACCTCTATGCGACCGTTTTGGTCCCTGTACAAAGTCAACTTACATTTACTACTAATCATCTGTACATTAAAGATAAAGAAAAATCTTGAAGTGCATATATAAAGGAAAAAATCAGTACGGAGGAGGATCTGCAATCTTTCTTGTTTCATTTAACTTGGTATTACTTTCACAATGGAACTTCCAGGAAAAAAGAAGAATTATTAAATATTAATTATGGAAGTTTCAAAGTAAAAAAAAAAAGAAAGAAAGAAAAAAAAAGAAAATCTTCTACCTTTGCTGAAAATGTTTTAAGAGGATCTCTGCTTTTGTTAGATTTCCCTTTGAGCCCTTTCTGGCGGCTAGGTTTTGCATTTCCCATTGCAGCCCGAGCTAGCTTCACAATCTTGCTAGCTTCTTGTGTTGTCGGGTCAAGTAAGTAATCGGGCACATCACGCAAGTGAGGCGCTGGTTCCTTTTTGCTCAAAATTTTGTCGTGTTTCAATAGATCTGTTTAGAGGTAAAGAGCAGTCACGTAATAGTTGCTAATATGTATATATGGGTTTATATGGTGATAAGCTCCAGCTAACAGCTTTTTACCTAAGTCCTTAGGGTTATCTTGAAAATGAGCCATCAACCTGTACATTTCATAGTAAATTAGTGAAAAGTGTCTTCAACAGAAAATAAGATAAAAATACGAACTCCATAAGTTTCTTCTCGAGTAATGGCTAGTCAAAAGATAACTCACTTTTCAGAATTGAGAATCTCATTTCTTAGATCCTGCGCACGTGATTCCCTCACCGCAATTTTAGTTACACTCCTTGCAACATCCTGCAGACGTAGTATATGTTTGAGAATAAGAACATAATGTAAAGGAGCGAGGTTTGCGATGGGGTATTAGCCTGGTGAACAAAGCAGATAATGTACACCAGAAAAGGTTTTTTCAAGAAACTAATATGCCAACACAAATTCACAGGGTAACCCGAACCATATGAAAAAATTCTCATTGAGATTTTCCACTCATTCGCGAAACTTTTCCTTAAGGCGAATAAAGGAATACCTCGGCTCTGTATCGCAAGGACTCCACAGCATTCTTAGTAAGCAAAGGGAATGGAGCAATGAATTTGGAATCCTGCTCGCCATTTTCACCCAAAAGCAATTTTATCTCCTCGAAGATCTCCATCTCGTCAGGGGATACCTGTACAAAGATCAATAAGATGAAAATGTACGCAAACGAGCATCCAACAGCTAAAAAGGGATATTCTTGAATACTATAACATTCCCAAATGCATCCAAGAAAATTTCACGTAAGCTGTTGTTAATGTTTACTAAAGTTCAGCATTTCATTTCATGGAACTAAAAATAGATAGTCGAGAAACTCACCATGGAAACAGACGCACCAGTACTATATGCCCTTCCAGTACGTCCAATCCGATGCACATAACCGGCAGCAGTTTGAGGCATATCAAAATTTACCACCTAATGCAAGTTAAAAGAAATATAAAGATTGATATCATATGGGCATTAAAAGAAATATAAAGATTAAAGTTTTCAACACTGCCTTCGAATAAACTTTTCCAGTACGTCCACTCCGACGAGGATTGATATCATATGGGCATTAAAAGAAATATAAAGATTAAAAGTTTTCAACTCTGCCTTCTAATAAACTGCTTCAATTGAAAAACATTAATATGTTTGGAACAATATAGGTACACCACCGTATTTGATTAGCTGTGAGATCAAGGGTCAAGCGCAGTGATAAAACCAATCTTCAACCGTAAGAAAGAAAATATGAAAGATGAGGCAAGTGGAAGTAATGTTTTCAGACATTCAACTTCAACCAAATGCATAAATTGAATTAAGACTTGTGATACAAAGCATCAGCTCACCGTGTGCACATTCTTAAAGTCTATTCCTCTAACTACACCGAATTCCGCATCCAACTTTTGTTTACGTCTTCTAGATCTTTTTGGAGGAGCATGACTTTCCTTGTCATTTTGCTCCTCTGCTGATCGACTGTCATCAGCTGCAATTAGGTAATCAAAAAGACCAGCATTGAATTCCTAACAAAAAAACAGGTTTGTAATAAGCCAAAACATCTTTTTGATTATTCCCACTAAAGAAGCCACGGAACTACACAACAGCATAACATATTAAGTACCTCGAGAATGTGTAGACGGGAATTTTGAGGTAACTCAGCATTTAAAACTGCAGATTTGATTCCAAACTGCCATGTAAAAAATACAGTCAGCCTTGTATTTCAAAATGTAAATATCAAATAGTCCCAATCAACAGATGATGCTTCAACCTTAGACTCATGAAGTACAGGATATGGACATCGTTATACCAAAGAATACAGAAGAACATGATCACCAGTTGATTTTGATGAAAAATCACCTGGCCACTGAAAGTGTCATATTTCAGCATGAAACTGAAAGCAGACTAATCTAACAATTATCCGACTTAGGGACAATTTTTGGAAAGAGGCCCACGCAATATTTTTTTAAGTTATAATAGGGGATTCCTTATCACAGGTTCCTGCCAGTTAGAAAGTGGCTAGGGAAAGAGACACACACAACATTAGGCAAGGTATTCGGTATTAAAATATTTTCCACTCTCTTTTGCACTGTGTATATAAGCATAATTGCAACTAATTATGAAATACACGCAGAGGTATACTTTCCCCCATTGCTTTTGTTTCCATACGATATTGATGCAAGCACGTGTGTGGAGCCAATTCACATGAATCTCTTCACTGGGAACTTTGGCATTGTTTCTCTTCAATAATTCTTAATTATTACAAATATAAAACACAATTGGTACACTATATGGATATGCTCCAGCTCAATCATTTCATGACAACTGAAACCCATTTTTTCCTTGATTCGTCAAGGTTCTCTCACATTTATAGCTATCAACTTCTCAAATTTCAGCAAACACATGAGAGCAGCTAATAGGCTGAATACATCACAATAAAGTGGTTTCAAATTATACAGACTATGTAGCTACGTCTAGCGTTTAAGAAAAAAGTGAGAAAATTCTCAGTCAATACGAGGCATAATAACATAGCATCATTCCCGAACAGGCATAAAGTGAACCATTTTACCTGTTCAAGGAACAGCTTCAGTCTAAAACTCATGTCAATTGAATTAGAGAAAATCAGCACTTTCTTCTGAACCAGCTCCAACTTCAACAAAGCAAGGATATGCACAAGCTTATCGCGGGCACTGCATGAAATCTATATATAGTAATACGGTCAGCAATAACTGAGGAAGACAAATGAAAAACCATTAACTATTGCATGACATGGCATATATTCAGGCGTCAAATTTAACCAAAATCTATACACAAATATTAATATCAATATAAGCTCCAGTTTTTCGAAGACACATTGGTAGTGAACAACACAATTCTTCAACTAACATAACAATAAAATTAAAATTGTAAGAGACAAGAAAATACAAGCAAAACTTACATAAAATTGCTGGACGTTTTTTGGGATAATATCATCCTTTACATCTCCCACTTCAGGTAAGGTTAAAATGTACGGATTGTGCAGAATAAGCTTTTTCAGCTTTTCGACATCATCACTGAACATCATCAAAAAGAGGCATAAGACCCAGTCATTTTCTAAAAGAAAAATGAGATCTATTTTATGAAGCAAGTGTTCTTGACGTCAAACAAACATCCCAAACCAAACAAGTTAATAGGTAAGATAGCACTAAAGGGATGCATGACATGTGAGTTCCAAGAACCAGCTACAGATGCAGCAATCTCAGAGAAGAAACATAGTTGATCTAAAAGGAAAGCCAATATAACAAAGCTAATAAGAGAACAAATAAGCAGCAAACCCCGTACTTCTCATGAGATATAACTAAAGGTGAAATTCGCATCAAACGCAATTTACTCTCTTATCTAACCAAAACCAGGAGCTGATTCTCAAGTGACTTATGTATGTGTACATGTTAATAGATATATGAATGAATAGTTACGTATTTTAGCCAAAAATCTTAAAAGGAATGAAAGTATTTCAGATATAAATCAAATGTGTGTGTGTGTGTTTCCGCATGTAAACATGTCATCTTAACTACAAAAAAGTTACAGTAGCATCATTATAAGTGAAACAAACCTTGAGGTAGCAGACATGAGAAGGCATTGGCAACGCTTTGGAACATGAGCTGTTAGTGCCTTCAGATCATCCTCATATCCATACGACAAGAGAAGATCTGCCTGATACAGTAAATTAACTATAGAATTAGACAATAAAATATCAGACTAGAAAAATTAGAATTTGTGCACCCAGCGGATATTAATAACCAGATACTAAATAACTGGGATCCAATAGTTGTGAAAATGCAGACCTCATCAAGGATTAGAACCGAAAGGGATTCTTGAAGAGCTTTAGAGTTGAGGATGCCATTTTTCAAGCATGTTTGTACACATGCAGGAGTTGATACAACGATGTCAGGAAGCCCTGCTAATGATGTTCTCTGCACAAATCAAATAATCAGCAGTTGAAATTAAACTGACTACACAGACTACATTTGAACTAATTAATAAATCATGATAAAAATAAATTTACCAACCAAGTCAGAAGTGGACATCATACTCTTCAATTGGATTGTTTTCAGTGGCACTCTGCATAATTCTATTAGCGACATAACCTCTGAGTAAACCTGTTTAAGCAAAAGGAATATAACACATAAATCAAGACAAACAGACCCAGAGAGGCTCATCGTGAAACATGCTTTAAAGACGCTTACTTGCTGGCATAACTCTCGAGTGGGAACAAGAATAAAAGCTGCAGGGGCGAGGTTCTTTTTCGAAGGCGACTCAGCGAAAAGCTTTTGAAGCAGTGGAAGCAGATAAGCTAATGTTTTCCCAGAGCCGGTTTTCGCTCGGGCCACAACGTCTTTGCCTTCCTGATAAGCAAAAAGTTACAGACATACAGATTAAAAAAAACGTTAGAAGAATACGAATGCAAATTGAGCTGGAAAAATTAAGAACAATGCATACGAGGATAAGGGGAATCGCGACACGCTGAATAGGAGTTGGTTTTTCGATTGATTTCTTCGATAGGGCGCGAATGAGGCGGGAATCCAAACCCAATTCTTCGAAGCTCTGCTCTTCTTCATCCTGTTCTTCCCCGTCTGCAACGACGGGTTTATCCTCTGCTTCCTTTGGTGGCTCTTCGATTGGTTTTCCCTGTACTTGTTTCTGCTCTTCGTTGTTGTTCTGAGGATCTCTTTTCCTTTTCGCCATCGCTGACTGGAATTCTGAGTGTGGAATAGTGATAAAAGAAACGACGACACGCGGGAATTAGGGTTTTGGGGTTTTGCTGAGCACTGATTAGGGTCCGAAATGAGTGGGCTTTAACGGTTCCCAACCCGGTTTTCCTTTTTTTTTAATTAAATCTGGATGAAAATTCTATCAATAAAAATATAAATTAAATTGGATGCAGTCTCTAGAAAAATTCGATTTAGCCTGCCATAAATTTTTGTTTTACCATCAAACATATTAAAAAAAAAAAAAAATATATATATATATATATTTTCTAAATGCAAAGGCAAATATCTTATATTTCTTTTCTTTTTATCTATAAAAAGAAACACTTGCTCTCTCTATCTGACACGTGTCCCTCCTCATTTTATGCAGCCACGTCGCCTTCATAGAAACGATGTCGTCTTGTGGCTTATAGTGTCTTTTTTTGTGTGATTATTTTTCCGATTCTCCTGCGCGTTCAATTCCATTACAGAGTACATTTTCCACCTGATTTTCTCAGTCTCTTTGTCGCCATCGACTCCCAGGCCACCGAGAGAAAGAGGATTCAGGCCTAGAATGGTACCTTGATTTTGATCGTAAATCCAGGGTTTCATCTTTGTGAGCATAGTATTATTGGATCGTATTATTCTAATTTTTATACGAATTTTTTTAGGGGTGATTTAATTGCGTCGGAGGATGTGAAGACGAGCGAATCAGCGCGATTGTTGTGTCGCGGAGGAGGCAAAGCTCGCGAAGGAAGATATAAAGCTCACTAAGAGTCAGTTTACAACATCTGTAAATTGCTGGTCGCCGGCGGTCTCGCCGGAGGGTGTAAGCTCTGGATTTCTTTAGTTGTTTTCGTCGCGCGTGCATGTAGGTAATATGTGATGATTGAATGTCTGATTTCTCTATTCATTTCATATTATTGCTTGGTGGAGTATACTTGGTTGATTGAAGATGTTATATATGCTAATTGTTTTATTTATTTTTCTCCAACTGGTGTTGAAGGAGCGGGGTCTTGATGAAATTTGGTAGCTTGGGTGGCGAGTTTGGAGGAAAAAGGGATTGTTATTTTTTATGGGGACAAATATATTTCAGATAGGGTGATAAAGAGAAGATTTGGTGGATTGGAGTGAAGATATCACATGCTGAAAGTGTCCTTTTTTTTATGATTTGTTTTGTTCTACTCTTCTTCTTTCATTTTTATTTTTTCTTTTTCAAATAAACCAAATGCATCTTGAATCTACTAATAAAGGAATGTTGGTAATATTTTAGTACTGAAGTGGAGCAGGAGGTTAAGAGGGAAGTAGAGATAGAATGAACACGACTATTTTTCAGAAAGCATTAATTGATGGAAAACATTGTTAAACCTAACGATACTTGTAGGTTTAGCTATTATTTTTTACAGATGCAAAGTAATGTTGTCTTTCATTTCAGGTGAGCCATCGTGCCGCAGGAGCTACAGCCGAGCCTACCGTCTAGAAAGCTTGTGGTTCAAGCTACCCGAACCGAGTCCAAATGGGTTTCTCTTAGTTTTAGGGCGCCTGATTTTCGTGTATGTGTGTTTTGCCCATGTTTGAGCGTTGTTTATCAGATTACAGTGAACTGTCATTTTGTTATTTATTTATTTATAAGTTTTACTTGCGTGCTAGGATGAAGTTGATCACATTAATTAATCCTACTGGTTTCGAGATTATTTTTCATTGTTACTTTTCATCTTTTCTTCTTCTTCTGGTTTTTAGAGGTAGGTCTGTTTTTTGTGTTATTATTATTTCACATGTTTTATTTTTTCTTCAGTATGTGTTCTTTTTCATCTCTGTTTGGGTAAAAGAAAGAAAGAGAAGTTGTAGGGTGTGTGAGGTTGTGTGTGTTTAATGTTCACTGGTGGACGAACAAGGGTTCTGGCGATCTCTGTGGATGTGATTATTCAACTAATCTAAGGTAAGTCCTCTATGATATCATTATTTCACTGGAGAGAAAAAACATGAATGAACTCTTTATTTATCCAGACATAGGAGTAAGTCCTCTATGATATCATTATTTCATTGGAAAGAAAAAACATGGATGATCTCTTATTTATCCAGACACCCTATGTGCTGCCTAAAAATTATATCTTGCAGGAGAATTGTAGTTTTTTTGATATACTAATTTTGAGGCTAAAATTTTTTCAACAGCTTTGTGTCGTCCCCTCCAATGGGTCAGACCCAGACGGAAAATTGCTATGGGTGGAATGAACGAGTTGTCATTAGAAATATAAGTGGATGCTTTTAGATGTCTTTTTTGTTTACGTTTTCATTAGCGTCAGCTTCTGAGTTGATTAGGCAGATGGTCTATAAAAGTCACGTCCTTGCTAAAAACCTTACATTCCAAATTGTAGGTGCCGTTGCAACTGCTAATGGATAAAAAATGGAGCGATTTTGAAGAACACCAGCCACCAAGTAGTGCTGGTAAGAATCTAAATTCTCGGGTGTTTCTTTATTCTTCTAATGTTTGGTGCTTTCATTTTTTAATTCTTGGTGTTGCTTTATTTGTTCACCACCCCTTCCTTCCGTTCACGCTTGCTGGCTTCCTCGGGATCGGAGCGGTTGGCTTGCACAGCTCCGCTGTATGGGCATCGGGTCGTCTTGGAGTCGTGGTACACAATTGAATCGGCTTCTGTCTATTGTTGATAATTTTCTACTTAATAGTCGTATATCCACATGTCTTGTGTGAGTATAATAAGATTATTAAAATATTTCTTGATGTGTATGTACCTATTACCTCTAGAAGCAGTCCGGAGACTTTCCATTTTCCTGCGACTGATACCTTCAATGTTCTATATTGTTATCTCTTTTAAAAACTATGACCTCACTTAAGGTTTGGGATTCGATGTTATTTAAGCTATTCGTTATCTGAAGGTTGTAGTTGGGACATATGAACAAGAAACATGGGCGGCGTAAGCATCTGGTATAAGCGTTTTCTGTAGTTGGCAACTTTAGTATAAAGAAAATGAAACTTAAAGTAACAATAATTTTGAGAATTGTTGTCAATATTTAAGCTCATATTTTCAGTCAAGTTATATATAAGACAACAGTTCGCCGTTTAGATAGTCTTGTATTAATTCTCTCTTTCCTTCTTATTGTGTGCAGATAAGCCTCTGGCAGAGGGAATCCCTTGGACAAAGGAAGGAAACAGATGGATAATATATCCATTCGGGTAGACGAACTTGATCCAAGTAGTATGAGTTTCTCTAGCAAATGAACTTATTAAAACCTAAGTAGTTTTTGATTTTATGCTACTATGTGGTACATTTAGTTACATATTTTATATATGGTTTCAATGTATTTACTTTTTTTCTTTTTCAATTACAAAATAATCTTCTAGCTTGAAAAAAAAAATAACGTGGGCCGATCGTGCTGTGCACGGCGAGAGCCTGCTAGTATTTATATATATATTGCATCTTCATTAAAGTTGGTAGGATCTTTGCATATTTGAGAACAATTAAGTTTCTCATAATTTCCCTTTAAATCGCACAAATATTCAATTTAATTATTTTATCAACTACCTCATGTAGTACACTGGTATTATACTAGTTATATAGAAGGGCGATTACCAATCAATTTATCAACTATTAGCTAATTCTTTCGTTAAATATACCAAACATATCTTAAGTACTATTTGGCATGATGATTTTTTTCAAAAGCTTGTGTTTATAACCAATGCTTACAAAAGTAGTATCTTGAAAAAGTCACTAGAGCTATTTGGGTCGCACTTATCAATCTATTTTATCGAATGTTTTCTTTATATGAGTTGACGTTTTTTATAATTAATCGTTAGTTGTGCACTAAAAAAAACATATTATCTATCCACCAGACATACCCCAAGTGACAAAAATACATTAGTGAAACTTAGATGATGCATACAATTGTGTTGGCTTGAATCTTAATATGTAAACCATGTGACACCAAATAAAGTAATAATCTTATATTGAAATATATGACTTTGATTCGAAGTTCACACTCCAATGGTCACAATTCACAAATCAATTGACAATAAGATTTTGGTTGGTAAAGAAGGTTACTTCTTTTATCACTATGTTCCAAGCTTCCTTTTTGTCCTGCAATCCTAATGAGGTTCCCAACTACTTCTCTTGGCTTATTGTAGGTGGGGTTGAGCTTTCATTCTTCCTTCCATAAGCCTTTTAACATTTTAGAGTAGGCTATTGTTTTTACTAAGTACGCAAACATTTTAATGCACATTTATTGTGTTTAGTCCCAATTGATGGGACATTACTTACATAGCATGCTTTTTATATTGTGTGTACATGAGTAAGTATTTGGTTAATTTCGGTATTTTTAAATGTGCAACAAATGTTGATCTCATGGTGCTAATTTTCACTTTTTTTAGAAAAATGGTTTATATTTTAAATTACTAGAAGGACATGGTTGTGCACAGCACAATCGGCCCAATGCAGGCTCATATTTGAATATTAACAAGGCGCAAAGAACTTGTAAGTTAAAACAGTAGCACATTTGATTAGGCCATCAAAACATTAAAAGCCACAGTATGTACATACAAAAGAAGTTTTTTTTTTTTTTTTTCTCAAAGACGATAGAAATCTCATTGAACAAAACTAGTTTACATCAAGAATACATCAGGAACCCATAAAAGTCTAGGGATTTAACAATGATCTAGCTAAAAGCCGAAAAATGGGAGAGTCACACGCAGGTGGTCTAGATAAAATAAAATAGCAAAACACTACATAAGACAAAAGAGCAATAGGAAGTAAGCAGTGAACAACCACCGAGCCTTTACCCCTGAATGACTAAGATCAAAAATAAAAGACAGTCCACTGTTCTAAGATCCTAGCCTGTCTGCTAAAATATGGTTTACTATCGGTTAGCTAATGGCCTGAATCTCCCTTCTCTTCAAGAAACTATTCCAATCTCTAATAGCTCCTTGAACAATTAGGTGAGCAGGCCGTCGGACTCCCTAAAAAATCCACAAGTTACGTGATTTCCAAAGCCACCATAGTATGTATGTTGATAATTGAATTTGGGCTTCAAAAACATCTGATTTATCCAGATTACATATCTGCCACCACCATAATTTGAATATTTCTTGATGACCAGGTCCTTCCCAGCTAACAGGAGCCAATTTCCAGGTGAGTTGAGCTTGTATACAGTGAAAGAGAACATGCTCGACTGTTTCTTGGTCTTCTCCACATACTCTGCAGATGGTGTTAAAGTTTGAAGTTTCAAAAGAGCAAGCTAATAAACAATCCATCAACAGAATTATGTAGCTTCTATATGTAAATAATTTATCTATTAATGTTTAATACTAATTAAAAAATTGTAAAATTAAATATCAATTAAAAATATTATCTATAAATCCATTAGATATAAATTAATAAATTACTATCAATATAAGAATAACAAATCATTCGAGTAAAGAGTCTTATTTTAAATATAAATATTAATACAAAATTTTAAAATTATCAACAATTTAAATGAAAAAAAAAAACAAGTCTCTTACATTATTAATAATGTAAACTAGTACGACACCCGTGTACTACACGGGTTGTTTGAAAAAAAATATAAAACAATAAATAATAGAAAAAACACATATTATCGTATAAAAGTGCAAAAATAGAAAACAAAAATATTCAGGCTCTATATAATTTGACAAATTAATGAAAACCCAAAGTAATATTTTATATTAAATTATTTTAGTTTAAAAAAATTAATACTTTTTACATATGCTTCCTAATTCAACACCTGTGTATTTACATGGATATTTGGTTTAAATATTTTTTTTCATGCTTGCTGGATTAGTGAAAAGGAAATTGATTGTTGAGATAAATGCAAAACAAAAGACTATGTTTGATCATCTTGTATATCTACAGGGGAAAACAAATCTAACTTTATAAGCATAACCAGTCATACCAAATTAAGGATTTTCTAGAAATTTCTTAAACATAACACAGATGATAAAATGCATTGTTGACATGGCCAGAACCAACACAAACAAATTACAATTCAAGGAGAGGCAATAATAATAATTTATATATATATATATATATATATACTGACAATAATTGATGTAATAAAATAACTCGAATTATAATACCTATAGCTCATATGATAATAATCAGAAGGGGCATACGAAGGATAAGGTGCTGAATTGAAACCACCGTGTAACTTTTTTGTCTAAGACACAAAAATCTCCATTACAACACGATTTTCAGGTGGTTCTTGTCATGTTTGAACCATAACGCACAATTGTGTTGAAAACAGTTGTCATGGTAAATTCAATTTTTGTAAGATGAATAACTGAGATGAAGGGGCTATGAGAATGAAGGGGGATGGTGATTTAAATAATGTAGAGAACTTTGTCAAACCGATTTCAGATTAAGCAAAATACACGGCATAATAGGATTCTTAACATTTGAAACACTTTATCCTACACGGCTCATATAATAGTAGGATTAAACAAAATACACG